GATGTATTTCGCTAAGAGACCCAGTATTATTACTGCGCATCGCTGAATACAGATAAAAACGTTTAAAGTGTTGAGGGCTAAACGGTCTGCTCGGTGAAACCTGTGCCTTTAATTATCTGAATAAATACATTTATTCAGGAATAAATAAATTGAAACTGTTACATTTAAGAACTTTAACATTTGGTTGAATCAGATTGTTTTATTTTGTATCATGCCTTCTATTTATACCTAAATCAATGTGTTTTTACCAAAACAAATGTTTCCCATCAAGCTCAGGAAAGGATGAAGACAACAGAATCTGGCTGAACATTTGATTTTAAACACTAATCATATCCTCAGGACTTGTCAAATCAGCTGGCAACACCTTTAAATATGCACTGCATCTTCCTCGGTTCGACCTTACTGTGTTTCTGAGAAAGGGCTAAATGTTAGTGTAATGATGTGTACACGGCTGAGGAAACACCTGATTTTGTAGAATGTGAAGTATCAAACCCTCTGAAAGCCGTGCAGATCCTTAAAACTGTTAAAGGTGCTATTTACAAGCATGTTTTCTAGATTTGTTTTTATTTTTCAAGAATGGAGGATATCTGTAAATAACACAATGGTCCTGTGGGGCCCCTTTACTTGTGGGCAGCTTGTACAAGTGAAATAGAAAGCATTCCACTGCAGCGATGGGACCAGATTTAAATGAAACCCCCCTGATATATATATATATTTTTTTGCATCCGGATCCAAAACAACTCATTCAACCTGCTGCTATCTGAGGAGGAGATGGACCGAAGAGTGTAGAGACCCGTCACCTGATCAAACCACGTCAAACTGCCTTCTAGATTCACTGATCACACTGACTGGGTCAGATTCAGACTTGATCTGTGTTTTTGTTATCCTTACAGTATTGGTTTATGTCATGCCTGATTGATCAAGAGTTCTCAGTTTATCAATGTTCTAAATAAAGTCTACATCAAGCTGATTGTTGTCTTTGTTTTTTCTGTTGAGAATTTGTGTAATTGTTTAAGGACAAACAGATGGGGGGCGGGGGTTATCAGGATAAGAACATTGCAATGGCATAAAGTAAAAAAAAAATAAAAAAAAAACTTCCAGTTGACCTCAGGTGAAAATGACCCAC